GGTGGCCTGGCTTTTAACAGTGGTAGCAGATGAATGCAGTCATTGAGTTCTTCTTGGGGTCCCAGGAATCAGACTTGGGATCTGTTTCTCATAGTGCTGCAGCAAAAGCAGCTGTTTTTTCTCAGTCTCTTTGTTTTCTCTCCTTGGCCTCCTCGTTGTCATGGCTATAGAATACTTAGAAGGCAATTCTTACTAACATCTCAAGTGAGCCGTCTGGGTCAAAAGCCATTCTTTGTAGCTTTTTCTCTCCAGCTTCCCATTGCACTGGGACCCCACAACCAGTTAGTGTTCTCTCCCCAACTGTCAGCACAGGCAGCAGGAATCTTGCTGCAGACCTCTCCAGAGCTCCACCACAGCCTGTACTGTCAGGGAAAGAATGGCTTCCAGGGAGTCTCCACAGGTATTGTGCAAGGTCCTCCTGGTTTACAGCTTCTGAATGGTTCTCATGACCCCAGTCCACAGGACCTCTGACTCCTCGGGCTTAGTCTGTATTCTCATGTTCTCCAAGTCCTTGTTCAGCAGCTGCTCCTCCGCTGACTCTGGACCTTTCTGGTTCTCAAAGGCAGGAGCAGAGTGACCCTTTGTATGGCATGTATTCCCAGGGGCTTCTCCATGTTTGAATGATTCACACACATCCGTGGGTGGGCATCTGCAGCCAGTGCATGGTGGGCCAATTGTGTCATTGTTTCTCTGTGTCATGGTCATTCTCAATTGAGTGGTGGTGGCTGGCCTGAGGGCCGGTGCGCACCAGTGCTCGCTACTGTGTGGCTTCCTGGGCACCAGGGGCCCTCCTTCCGGGCGCCTATGAGGCAGAGAGCTGGCCCGAAGACCGGCGCTCCCTGCCACGTGGCTTCCCGTGTGCCAGAGGCTATCCAAATCTTGAGTATGAATAGAATCATTTTGTTTTGGTTGTAATATTAATATTAACCCTTGTGCCATGTGTTTTCCTTTATTCATGTACTGCTGAATTATGCATTTATGCGTATGCTGGAGAAAGGCAGAGAAGTGTAATCACATGCTACTGCTTGGCCTCTGGTAGACTGGATAGGTGACAGAGTTGAGAGTCATCAGCAAAAGCAAGGTTGTACGCTGACTCCCTCTGCCTGTGGATTTCCCTTCCACCCACTGCCTTTGCCTACATTGATCTGTCTCCCACCTGCTTCCCTGCTGAAAGGTCACTTCCTCAGGGAAACCTCCGCTGACCTCCCAGCCATAAAAATCTGCCGCAACAGCACCCTCTACTTCCTCTTTCAAAACTCTGTCATGCTTGTGTTTTCTTGTCATCCCTAACAGTTTGGAAGGCAAGGACCATGCATGCTTCTTTGGGTCGCCCCTACATTTCCCATAGCTATCCAAGTAATAGCACATTCACAAAAACAAATATTGTTTGAACCAATGAATAAAAAGCAATGTAGAGATGTAAAGTGAGCTGCACTTCTTGCATGGACATGCGCAAGGCATCTTCTTCTGGAAACACACAAAGGATTCCAGCACTCACTTCCATTATCCCTTTATCAGAGAAAACTCTCTGGGCCTCTGTCTAAGAGAGTAGCCTCCTTATTTCATCCTACCTCATCACTTTCCTCCCCTGTATCATTGAATTTTCTTTATAACACTTACAATTACCTGACATTTTATTACGGTTCCACTTATGTATTATGTGCTTCTGGCAGTAAAGTCTATAAGGGGATATTCTCCATCATATAATAGATATGCAATAAATATTAATTAAATTAGAGAGTAAATGATGTCAAGCATGGTGGTATATGCATGTGATCCCAGCTACTTAGAAGGCTGCGGCAGAAGGACGGCATGTTTGAGATCAGCTTGGGTAACTTAGTGAGACCTTGTCTCAAGCTAAAATATAAAGAGCTAGTGGTAGAGTGCTTGGCTGCAAGAGGCCCTGGGTTCAATCCCCAGGGAGAAAGGGGAAAGGGGGATTGTAGACTGCAGAACGGCACCATTAAGGCTAGAGTTCTAGATTCTAGAATGGCATAATTGGCCATTTTGGATTTCTAAATAGTCACATCAGCTGGGAGATAAAAGAATAAATACATTTTTCTTAGTTTTTCTCTTTAACTAATTGCATCAAAATACAATTGTAATTCTGTAATTGTTAACTAATTTTTAAAGTTGCCACTATCAAGCTTTTTGTAATTAATTGCTCAATACTGAGTTGATGGTATGTTCAAATGAGGTACCCCATGGGTATAAAAAGAAACAAACTGTATCTTTAGTTGTGAAGGTGTGAATGTTGATCCCCTTCCTCCCTTCCTCCCTTTCTTCCTTCCTCCCTTCCTTCCTTCCTTCCTTCCTTCCTTCCTTCCTTCCTTCCTTCCTTCCTTCTTCCCTTCCTTCCTTCCTCACTTCCTTCCTTTCTTCCTTCCTCCCTTCCTTCCTTTCTTTCTCCCTTCCTTCCTTCCTTTTTCTTTTTTTCCTTCATTTTTGGAGGGGAGTCAGAGAGTTCAACAATAAAGAACAAACTAATTTTCCTTTGAGAAAATAACATATCCAGGAGGTAAAATATGCCCTCTTTTATTTTTTAATTTAATTTAATTTTCAAATTTTTCTTCTTTTATATGCCATCTTTTTAAAATGTTAAAGATGATGTTAGACCACAAATATATAGGAAAAAAAAATCAAAGAAAATGATGTTGTAGGTAATGTTGCATGAAAAACAAAACTTCCATCACATTCAAAGTGACTAATATCTTGTGAATCAGACACACACATATGAGCAAAATTATAAGCATTCATATAGATAGCTCCACGATTGCATTTTAGTGAAGAGGGCATGGGATAAATTTTCTGCAATGTTGTTGGTAATAATGAAAAATTATTTTAAAAGGAAACCAAGAAAGCCAAATGTCCCAGAACACTTTGTGTGTTTTCTGGCACCATTTCATGTTTTTCTGGTTTTCTTTTCTTAAAGTCACCAGTTAACCACCCTCACATTGGACAGCCTTGAGATGACTTGCCTTGGTTAGGCTGTGATCCCTGGAAAATTCCAGGGCGATCTGCCTTTAGGCCTTGGAGCCTTCTTTTTTTTTTTTTTTTTAATCTTGATACACTAACTTCAAAATACCAAGAGTTGCACTGTGAACTGCATCAAGAGATAGAGGCAGAGAAGAGGAAGAGGAAGAGGAAGGGGAGGGGAGGAAGATGAAATAGGACGTGTTATGTACAGGTAGCAACTCCCAGTGATGAATGCGGTCATTATGTGCTGCAAGCATGTGCTAATCAAAATTTTTAAGCAGCTAAAATTCAAAATAACTTCCAGGTTGTGGTGCTTAGGATTATTGCTATTTTTTCAGTGATTCTCTAGCTTGTAGCTCTGTTCTGGGAAAGACTTCCTGCCACGCGTGTACATCTGGAGCAGGGCACACCCTCCACACCCTCACAGGTCACTGTCGGGGTTGAGGGGCCCCGTCTGGGTCCGTATGAGGAAAATACATTTCTTTCATGAGGCCCTCATCTTGGTGACTTCATTCTTCCCAAGGGCAGCAGGGCTTAGAAAACGAGGATGAACCGGCTCTCCTCGTGCGGTCTCCCTTGTTTCCACCTCCTCTTTCCCACTAACACAGGCGGCCAAATGGCATCCTGGAAGGTTGGCCATGACTCCTGGCTCCTCGTAATATTCAGGAATTAACCTTTCCAAGTAGATGAAGCTAAAGTAATTGGCAACCTCACTATTACAATAAAATTTCTTCCTCAGCCTCTTGCTTAATTCTAGGAATTAAAGAGATAGAGCTGACAAACAGTAATTTCTTTGTACCAGGAGGGAAAAAATACAGAAGGCTCTCACTCTATTTCAGACCTCAGGCAGGGCTGGAAGCATCCAGCTGTCTTCATTTGCAAGGCATCAAATATTTTCATATTCCAGAAATGGGGCCACTGAACAATGATAAGTGAATGAAATACAATGCAACTATTTTTAGTATGGTAATTGTAATTAAAAGGCAGCAGAATAATAATCTTGCCCAAGCATGTCTGAGATCTCCTTTCCAGTTGCTCAAAACAATACTTTCTATGTCTGGCTGCAGAGACTGGTTGCTTGTTTTCCTTCTGGTGAAAAATAGGTAACGCTTGACATTCTTTCTAAACCAAGTGAATGGCATGTCTGAGATTGTGGTTTTGGCTAGACACGATCCTCCTTCCTTCTCCATGTCTTCACTTATGCAAGCTGAGGGATGGAATTTCTTTGCCATATATAGTGGTAAATTACCACGGAACAAAAAGATTTCCTAGGTGAGTAACTCTATTATTTGTCTATTTAATTTTTAAATTTAGAATAATTTGTTACTGTTGTTTAAAAAGAAGCAAGGGGACTGGGGCTTGTAGGTCAATGGCGGTGCACTTGTGTAGCAAGTGTGACACCTTCCATTCAATTCTCTACCCTGAGAGAGGGAGAGAGAGAGAGAGAGAGAGAGACAGAGAGAGAGACAGAGAGAAAGAGAGCATCCCTAATGTTATTGTTTGTATCTAGATGTCCCCCCTCACGTGCTCATAGGTGGGGCTTTTTGGAGGTGGCTGGATCTAGGGTGTGTGAGAACTATATTCGTTTAGCACAGTTCTGGATGTGGGTAATGGAAGGCCCATCTTAGGTGAAGACAGCACCAACCAACAGACTTGTAGTGTGAATGGAATATAAAGAAAAGATGGTAGGCTCGCTGCTTGGTGCTTCCTGCCTGCCCTACCATGGACTGTTTCTCCTCAGCCACACCCCTCTGCCATCCCACCCCGCCTTGGAGCCAGCTGACTAGGGACTGAAACCTCTACAAACTGTGAGCTACAATAAACCTTTCCTCCTTTAACTTTAGGTGTTGAGTGTTTTTTTCTCAGTAATGAGAAAAGTAACTCAGATACCTAATAATAGTAGTAATAGCAATAACTACCCCTTTTACAGTGTTTACCATATGCCAAGGATACACAGTGACTCAACCCAACAACTGACACAAGTCTAGAACAAGTTTTTTATTTTCATTTTGTAGGTGAGGAAATCGATGCATGGAGAAAGTAAATGACTTCCCCAAGTCTCTGCAAATAAATGGCAGAGCCAAAATCCAGCCTAAATTGGCTTTTAACATGTTCCCACCTCTTAAACCACCAGTGGCACATACATGATCACCCCATCAGGGGGCATGGGACAGTTCCATCGGGTTGTACAAGTCACCCAGTGGGATGGTCATGCATGCACGGCCCCATGGTGAACTTGTTAATCCAGTTGTTGTCCTTGAAGCATCGTCCCTGGACTGCAAGCATCATACCCATGTTATGGATGAGGTCACTGAAGCTCAAGGAAGTTATTTGTCTAACATCACAAAGCTGAGGCAGGATTCAACTCAGGTTTTAGGTGTTTGGAGGTCTAGTGTTTTATTTTTTCCCATCTTTGAGAGTACTACCTAATAATACATTTTATTGATAGGTACAAAGACTACACTGCTTTTTATTCCTCCTGTCATTTCACCTACACCATGGGTTAATTAGATTTATGTCAATGTGAAAATGTGTCATTGCAAATAACTTTTCCCATTAGAAAGTGTTTTCAAATTTCCAGAAGACCACTTTATGAATGTTTGGTTCCAATTCATTACATTTAAAAGTTATGGATTAAATCAAGATTAGAAAATAGGATCCAGCTCTAAAATATTAGGTACTACATTGACTTTTCCACAAGCAAGGGAAAGGTCTATCAGATTGGATAAGCTGCAAGAATGCATTCCCTCTAAAACAAAAACAAGAACCTGGAGGATAGAAAAACAAAAACAATTCCCACAAACCACCTTTAACATTTTAATTTTTTTCTTGATTAGAGTAGCCGTGCTTCAGGCTTATAGTTATCCTGTACAAAGCAAGCAGTAAATGCTATTGGAACTTTTTTTTTTTTTTTGTCTTTTCCCCCTGAAAAATGTCTGTCTCCAAGTCTTGTTTGCAAGATGGTCCTCGGTGCACGCTTGAGCACACTCATTGGGCAGAGTGCATGGGATAGGCTCATCTTGAGAACAAATCCGAAGATAAAAGCCCTTTGAATACAAGCAGTCAAACTTGCTTATCGTAGAACCCCCACAGAACAACATGTCACTTAGATTGCTTTGTGCAGATGAAGATCCCAAAGTCCTCATGTTTGTTTTTTCTTTCTGGTTCAGCAAATTTGAAGAAGAAGTGTGACTTCTGTGTTTGGCATTGATGAGAATTTTGCTGTGCTTTGAAATTTGCTGTCATTCCATTTCCTGTGCACTCCTGTTTTTTGAGATCGATTTGGCAATGACCAAGTCCTGCCTGCTCTGTCCTGCCCGGGTCATTAGAACTTGACTTATTAACAGTGTTCTTTCTCTCACAAGATGGTGGCCCATTAAAAAAAAAATCCATTCTTTAAAACAGTTTCAGTTTTAAGATGAGATATTTTAAGTACTCTTTACAAGAATACACTTGGGAATCTATTGGTACAAGAATTACCCATGGAATGAAACATTAAAATGAACTAGAAGTGTATTTGAATATTTCCTTCATAAAATATAGAGGGAAAAAAAGTAAGGCTCCAGATTTAAGAATTCCTAATACTTTGCATTAAAATCATTTCAAATCTAATTATTGTCACTAAGCAGTGGGTGGAAATACTATGTATTGCAGTACCTGGATTCAGCCCAGGGAGCAATGAGCTCTCACTGTTTTTACTTGGAGACAGTATCTCAGTAAGTTGACCAGGCAAGCCTTGAACCTGTCTCAGCTCCCTAAGTGTCTGGGGTTACAGGCATGTGCCAGCACGCCCATCCACATTTAGATATTCAACAGAGAGTTGCTATTATGTTTTTCTCTTACATATTGTCTTTTGGGCACACTTCTCATAGAAAGTATCTGTGTCTGTGGCCTGGTGTTACTCATTCTGAAATCACTCATTCTGAAATCCTACCCATTTCCTGGAATGAGAGTTTTTAAAAGTTAAGTGACATCCCAAACACCAGTTCAAATGGCTTCAGAGCAACACAGAAGTTAGCCTTGGGAAAATAATGACTGAAGTTAATTCAGCATGTATTAAGAGAGCTGCAAAATAGTATTTTGCTGCTTAGTCATGGGATGTAAATGTTAAGCAAGCATTATAAATAGCTTTCACTGACAGTATTACTTTTACCAAGCCCGGTCCATTTCCACTTTTTAGAATGGGGATGTAGCTCAGTGACAGAATGCTTGCCTTGCATATGGAAGGTCCTGAGCTCAATCCCTAGCAATGCAAAAATGAATAAATAATTTTATTTTATCAAAAACTCAACAGTGTTTAATATTTTCTATGTACCAAGCACCATTTTATACTTACCATTTCATTTAATCCTCATATATCCAACAAGGACTGTTGTCTTTATTTTACTAACGAGAGGGAAGCTCAGAATGATTGAGTAATTTAACCAAGATTATTACCTGGCTAATGTAGAGCAAAGAGCAGAATGCATCTTTGTCAAACAAGCATTCACCCCCAGTTCTCAATGTCTACACACAGTATCAATTTTGATCTCCTTTCCTGCCAGCACATATTTTAATACTCATTAAACACTTTCATTTATCCAATCAGTTATTCTGGCAGTCGATAAACATTTAAGTCTTAAATGAGCTCCTGAGAAGGATGACACAATCCCAATGGTCAGAGCATCCACAGTCCGGTGGGGAACATAAGTCAGTAAGCCAATTCAGTGTCCAGTGGTAAACATAGGTCAATAATGAATTCAGAGGCAAGGGATATCCTTATCATAATAAAGAGATGCATCCGGTGTCGTAGGAGTGGGGAATGTCTAACATCTCCCTCGGGGTGGGAAGAAAGTCGTCAGGAAATGGCCTAGATTTGGAAGGTGACTTGAAGGACAGTGAGAAGTGATAGTGTGGGGTTCTGGCCACCTTCCTAAGGCAGGCTCAGTAAGCCTTCTGATGCCCCATCTCTCCAACTCCTCCTCTCTGACAGGCAGTTCTGGTGGTTCTAAGTGTTACCCCGGAACTAGGAGAACAGGGGAACTCAGAAATATAAATGGCCAGGCTTCACCCCAGACTCACAGAGGGAGAAACTCAGGGAGGGAGGCTCAGCCACCGGTTCTTAATGAGCTTTCCAAGGGGCTCTCCCGCTGCTAATGTCATTCTGCTGAATTTCTGTTCGGAGTGGGAGGGCACAAAAGAGCGGCCGTGGGAGGAAAAGAGAACGAACACTTCTTAAGCACTGAGAGCGTGTTAGAGGCTGGTAAGAGACTTCCCAAAGTCTACACGGGACAACCCGGGGCCCTCCAGCTCTACAGCTCTAGCTTTTGGCTCTTCCCTCCTCAACACACCCTCTAAGGACAGCAGCAGCTGTGATCGGAAGGGCAAACTCCGTTATCTTCGCAGTTTTGCCTGTCATTATTGCCATCACCTTTGTGCACTGGTTCATTAATTTTAATTGGCAGGACTGTGCTCAGAGGTCTCAGCAACCTGCTGGCTGTGTGTCCGCATGCATCTTACGCCACTGCCAGTCTGGTCTGTTCTTTGGAGCTCTCTCTGTCTCCGTTGGCCGTGACCCCATGCTGGTTTGCCTGAATGTGCTTCTCATCACTGACCCTGAGTCAATCCTTCCTCTCTCCTTCCTTTCTTCCACCCTCACCCTCCTCTGTTCCTCTTCCTCTTTGCACAGATCTGCCTCCATTGACTTACTATGGGGTGTCCATTGAGCCCTTACTAAGTGCCAGCCCAGGTGTGTGCTTTGCCTTCCTGGAGCCCACAGTCTAGTAAGGCAGAAATAGCCACGAGCCACAGCTAACCTAGTTATCACTTATGTTGAGTAGAATGAAATAAATATACAGGGAGCTGTGTGGAGAATGACGGCAGGGTCCTCCAGGTAAGGCCTCTCTGAGGAGATGATGGTCAGCTGAGGCCCCAAGATAAGCAGTGGATATAGGAGGGTGGGGTGAGAGTGGGCTGCCCACTCAAGGCCTTGTGGGAGGTCAGAGACTAATGAGCTAATAGGGACTTGGGGGCCAGACTGGAAGTGGGCAGGGGCCGATCAGGTGGGGCCAGGAGGGCCAACTCCATACTAAATGCTTTGGAAGCCTTGGTGGGATTCAAGGGGGGAAGTCCAACTTGCACTTCATGGGAAGTGTGGAGTAGACAGTGATCTTTGCAGCTATTTCTGGAGAAAAAGTTGGAAAATGGGGAAACCTGTGGTTTTACCTTTATGTTTCAATGTCTTCCTGGTAGAAAGTCCTCCTACTTTGATATTCTTTCTTCCAGTCCAAAGGGTGAGGTAACATTCTACAGCAGTCAGCAGCCATGTATCCAAGAGAGGATCCTGGGCATTGCTAATGGGCGATATCAACAAATCAACAGTAATAATAGAGAGGCTCACTGAATGTGATTGTATGCATGAATTATGAATATTAATATCTGTGCTTTAATGATCAACGATCTTATGCAGGTTGTGTTAGTATCTACTTCACAGGTGAGGACAGAGAGGTTAACAAACTTGCCCAGTGTCACAGGGCTGCTAGGACAAAAGAGAATGAAGAGATTATTTCCAAATAAACACCATCGGGTTTTGCTTGCTTTCCTTTTCCTCCTTTGGCCATGGTCCTTCATTCTAGCCTTGCTGAAAAGCTACCAGGTACCCAAATCTTCGGAAGGGCCTGGTCCTCTCTGAAGCTGTTCTTTTTGTTTTGTTTGTTTGTTTTGTACCTGAAATTTAACTCAGGACCTTGCATTTGCCAGGCAGGCACTTGTGCCCCTGAGCTGCATCCCCAGCCCATCAAAGCTGGTTTAGAAACAGGGAGATGGAGCCGCTTTCTTACCATTTCTGTAATAGGAAGTGAGCGCCACACTATTGTGGCTGTACAGGGAGCCACACCCACGGAGGGTGAAGGAGGCCGAGAGTTCTCATCACAACCCAGAAGGACAGCCAAAAACAGCAGGAAGAGGACAAGGACAGGTTGCCTTCTCTCACCAGCAACCAAATAAGAAAAGAGAGCCAGTTGCTCACTTCTTTCATGGCTCCTTAAGAGATACTGTTTGGGCTTCCTCTGTAGCATAAAATGATGGCTTCAGCAGCAAAACTAACTCACAACAAAATGATCCACTGGTGTCATTTTAGAATTCTGAAGAAAAGCTGGTGGTGTTTGGATTTCTAAACTCTACCACACAAAAGGCAATTTTCCAAGCAGGGCTAGGCCACCCTAACTGTTGAACCGGAGAACTAATTAGCCTCCCGTGTGCACTATCTTGTCTTTTTTTAGGACCGGAAATCAAATGGGAAGGGTTCCCTCCCTTTCCAAGTGAGTTCCAGAGGAATTACTCACGCTCCTTAACCTATGAGTCACACAGGAGTCTAGGAGAGTGTTTCCAAAACAGGCTGACAATAAGATAAACAAAGCAATTGATATGTGATAGTCCAGTGGCTGGGCTGCCATCCTCCAAGGCCAGGAGTTGGATCTGCAGCTGAAAAACAGTGAACCTGAACTGACTGGGTGTCCCTGAGGAGTACGTGGATGGCTGGAGCTCTGCAGAACGACTTGGAACATTTCTGAAAGTATATGGCCACTAGGAGGTATGTGTTCAGAGCCTCTATTCAATTCCATCGACTTGCTTTGTGCAATTATAGCATCTCTCCCCTCAGGTGACTCGAGGGACTTGCCTGGCATCACACTGCTGTGCCTGACTCTCAAAGTTTGGCCAGCCATGCTCTTTGTCACCGAATAACACAGGATATTAATCATTTCAGGTCTCTGGGCCTGTTCCCAGTGTCCACTGTTGAGCCAGAAAAATAACTCCTAAGTGACAGAGGCTTTCCCCAGATGAAATACACAGTAGTGGAGAAAGCGAGACTTAGGAAGTAACCCAGCGGCAAGCTGGTGCTCTCCTGGGCAGGTAGCAACTGTGCTTCCTCCACACAGTTCCCCCTTGAAGGAGCTTGAAGCTAGGTCTCCTTGCTGTCTGAGCTATGAGCCTCCAAGCATCTCCTAGGCAGGGCTTCGGGGTGAGCAGGAGGACATCCTCCACCATGCCAGCTTCTGTCATCCCTAGAAAAAAACAGCAAGGCGGAAGTGCAGGTCCTCTCTGCTCTGAAGACAGAGCAAAGATGGACGCTTTTCTCTACTCGTGTTAAACCCTCGAATGTAAGAGGCCAGGCTGGGGGAAGAGGCAGAGGGTCCCAAAGAAGAATGTTGTCTGGTCTGCTTGCCCTTGGACTTGCCTGGTATCTGTCATACACACAGCTTCCGAGGGATCCACCTGAACTCAGCACTAGTCACCCCTCTCCTCATGAGCTCCCCTGACACCCCACGCCCACCCCAGCACACAGCACCTACAGAACTCCTGGAGCGGCTCCTGGGCCACCCAAGCCCCATCTCTCCTTGATGCTCTGCCTAACTTTCAGCTTCCTCAGCTGCCACTCCCTGGCCCCCTAACCACACTCACCTGTGCATTGTTTCCTGAAGACATCGCATCCTTTCAGCTCCGCCTCTTTCATCCGTGCTTTTCCTTCCCTCTGGAATACGACGGCACCCACTCTTTCTTCCCTGGGTCGCCGGTTCCTACCCAGGGGTCTGAGTGCGTGGCTCCTGGGCACTGTACCTGCCTTGTCTCTCCAGTTCTTGCCTCATGTGGGATTCTCCACAGGACCAGCCTTCCCCTTTGGGCTGGGAGCTCCCCACAGAGAGGCGCTATGTGTGCTCCATCTTAGACTTTTGGAAAATCTATGAGGCCTGAGTAACTCAAAGGGGGTTTGTACTTTGGCCAGGCCACTCCCTACTATTCAGATCATGGCTGAGAGCCTAAAAGAGCTGTGCCGCCACTTGTTTGCGCTGGTGTTCTCCTTCCCGGAAGCTTTCTGTATTCCAGGGTGACTTTCAGTAATATTCAGCTAGTGCCACAGGACTTGCAATGTTTGGTTTTGAAAGCATAGCAATTTCAGGGTGCACTGATTTCTATGTCTAACTTTTTATGGTCAGGACAGCGGTGTATCTGTAATGTACTTTACCCACCACCCCTGTTCCTAGAGATACAGGAAGGAGGCTTGGGATACTAGGTTTAGTGTACAATCATTTTAATGCTGCATGCTGCAGTAAGCACTGGTTATCAGGTGCTTCCAGGATGCCACTTTGGGTCCAGCAGGGCTGGGGACTAAAAAGTGGCCCACAAGGCAATTTGTGGTGCCATTTTAGGAAACGGTCCCACTGCCTCTCCTTCCAGCTCCCAGCAAGCTTTTCCTCTCAGTGTTCTCATGTGCTTGTCTCTGCCTAGAAAGCCTTTGCCCTCCACACCAGCCCCTCATTAAGCCAGAGGCCACCATGGCTCAGGTTTTCTGTGGAGATGGAACTGCTGGAAGGGGCCTGACCGGATGCATCTCCCCACCTCATTCCAGCACTGTCAGAATTTGCTTCAAAGTCCTTGTGAATTATTTCACGTAGTATTTTTGCGTGTCTCTCCCATTACACTGAAAGCAGTTTGCAAAGAAGAGGATTTGTTTGAGCTTTGTTTTATAATCACATGGTATGTGCTCAATAAATGCATTTGAATAAATAAATGCACTCTTTTATGTCAACATTTTGCTTAGAACTTGGAGGAGTTGATTTTATCAACTCGGTGCCTTTTCCTGTCTGCTCAGCTCCCCATCCTATCCCTGACAGGTGTCCTGAACTCACTTCCCAGGTGCCACTTGCCTCAGCTGGGGATGCCTTTATCTCATTTCCACTGACCCCATTTGCAGCACCTTTGCCTACATCGCCACCACTGTGACACCGTTCAGCATTTCTGGGCTTCTGAAGGCCTTCGGTTTCATTCCACATTTCCCCATGTGTGTTTCTTTTATTACCAGGGTTAGAAAGTGCGCCTGGGAAACCAAGAGCAAACACAGCAGAGGTCTGTTAGTAAAAAGTGAAAACCTCCCTTCCCATTCTCAGGGATACCACAGGACTACTACGTCCTTTTCTTTGGAAATATAAATTAAGCCTTTTCTTTTAAATTAAAACAGGAGCAGTGATGTAATTTTAGGGGGAAACAAAACATATGATAATATCGTGTAGCAACTTGTTTTCCAATTACTACTTCTTGTTTTTCATTCATATTAGGCTAGAACAACTTTGACTTTTCAGTGACTGAATATTAGTCCATTGTGTGCTCATAACATTATTTAACCATCATTTTCTTGATGGCTAGTTAGGCAGCTTCTGTTTTTTAAAATTTCAAGAAATGCTGGGATAAAATCCCCTTATACATCTGAGTGGGTATTTCTCCGGGAGACATTCCTAAAAGCGGAGTTGTTGGATCAAATGGCATGCCATTTTGTATTTTGATAGCTCCAGCCTGATTGTCTTCTAAAAAAGCAGTCCTCATTTACACTCCCACCCACGGTGCTTAAGGGCGTCTGAGGCTGCTCAGCGTGACAGGGCATTATCGCTCCATTTAATCTTCATCTAACCGGTCAAAAACTTTCCTGGCTGCAAGGGTTGAGATCAGAGAGTTGTTCATGTTTAAATCAGCACTCATGGTCTGCATCTGTGACTGTTGCTGATATTTACTTGTTTATTTTTCCATCAGAGTGTTCGATTTCATTTTTACTCCATGTAGTGGTTTTTAAGAACACTTGTGATAAAAAGCACATAACAAAAAATGTATCGTATACACAAAGCCCAAGTGCACGGTTCAGGGGCATGAAGTGTGTTTACAGTGCCAAACGGTGGTCATCGCTGGCCAGCTCCCGGATACCTCTCATCTTGCACAACTGAAACTCTGTCCCCAGGAGACAATAACTACTCATTTCCTGATTCCTCAGCCCCTGGCAACCACCATTATATTTTCCATCTCTATGAATTTGACTTCTGCGGTGGCTTTTCAGACAGTATGCGCGTACAGTTTTAGAGAGGTTGAACATATCTTTCCGGAATTTTAGCTTGCCTGTTCATTTAATAATGACTCTTTGCTGTAATAGAAGCTTCATGTTTTTTGAAGCGTTCATTTTTTAAAATTTATTTTTCTTTTGAAGCTTGCTTTTTAAATACATTTATATATTTATTTATTTATTCATGCATTTATTGGACAGGGTCTCCCTAAGCTATCCAGGCTGTGCTTGAACTTGCAATCTTCTTGCCTCAGCCTCCCAGAATGCCGGGATTACAGGCCTGTGCCCCAACTCCTGGCTAGAAGCGTCATATTCTTAGGTCAGTAAATGTGAATACTGTATGTCTCATGGAATCCTTTATGTCTAGGAACCATTCACTTGTGTTTCAAGCTCTTTTACCCATAGATGGGAATGACAATGCCACCTGCCTCAAAGAGATTTGTCCAGAGGATTCAATAGTATGATGCGCGTGTGGCATAAGGAATGAACCCTAGATCTTTACACTGAGCTAAATCCTCAGCCTTTCTTAAACATTTTATCTTGAGATAGGATCATGCTAAATCATTAAATTGCCCAGGAAAGGCTCAAGTTTGAAATCCTCCTGCCTCAGCCTCCTGAGTCACTGAGATTACAGACATACACCACCACACTCATCTTCGCCTTCTCTTCAAGTGCTTTGCCCCACCAAGATCTCCTCCTTGTTTATGAATATTTCATCTTTCCCTTCGGCTAGATTTTCCTTGACCTATAAAAATGTGAAGTTCTCTTTCATTCCAACAACCCACCTCTTTGTAACTCTGCTGACAATGCCCTTACTTCTGTATTAGCCAGTCCCTTGAGGGGGTGAACTATACAGCTAAATCTATTTCCCTTCCACCACCCTCTCACACATTGCCTACAGGCCTTACCACCTCCTCTCTCTCCTCCTAACCAAATATTTAAATTGACTTCCTAAAGCCATGGTCACCTAGCCCCTTGGACTCAGTGGTTTTTCTTGGTCTGCAGCCTGCCACGCTCAGCTGCAGTTTGAGACAGCACCAGAGGCTTGCTTCTGCTTAAAAAATCCATCTTGACTTCCTATCACTGTACATTTTTTGGTTCTTCTTCTTCTTTTCTTGCTACTGGTTCAGTTCATCCATTCAACATGCCTTTATTGAGCATCTACTATGTGCCACAATTGTGCTAGGTGTTGGGGGCAGAGCGGTGAGCAATACAGGCATTGTCACTGGTCCACTGGCCCCTTTCACTTATGATTTAAGAGAATAGACATTGTCATGTAATCAGCTACCTGCTCTATGCACATGTGTGCCTGTGTTTGCATTTATCTACAGTGTTGTAAAAGCATTAGTAAGGAGGAAGACTTGGGGGAAGGAAGCCCAGCCTAGGAAGGACAGTTTAAGAAAGTGATATTTAAGCTGAGATCTGCAAGATAAATAAGTGTTAGCTGGGTGAGGAGTGGTGGTGACTGGAGAGCTGGCTTCCAGGAACAGGAAGGAAAACTGAAGGCTCTACAGGGAGCAGGAGCTTGGCAGTCTCAGGAAACCTAAAGAGACCAGTGTAGCTGGAGTGCAGGAGAGAGAGGGAGGTCAGAGCCATGGACCAAAGGCGCCATCACGCAGGGACTTGTGCAGAGTGTGGGCAGCATTTGGGACTTACTCCCATGAGCAACGGGCAGCTATTGAAAACTTCTCTTCCTTCCTGTCTGCTCATCTAGGCTGTGCCTCATACCTGGGTCTTTGGTTCTCTGCCCTTCTGCCTATCTAGTGGCAGGGCTGAGTCATCACCTCTCTGTGGTAGACTCCCGAAGCCTATCACCCCCTGCATACCTGTCCTTTTCCCAGCTACCTACGAGGAGCCTCCCCTGGGGCATCACACTGGCATCTCAAATGTAAATGTGAACAGCTCCCCTTGGTTTCCTTTTCAAAATCCTTCCTGTTTGTGTGTTTCCTGACTTGGCCAGCTCTACTGACTTCCCATTTATGCAGATTGGAAATGCTGGGGTCTCCTTGACTTGGCCTTCATCCCAAGGGTAAAGCAGGGCTCAAATCCGAAGGAACTTGGATTCTAGCAGGGCGACCAAGGGCGACACAGAGCACTGTGAGAAATGTCCTAGAGAAGCAAGGAGGACTGAACTGTTTAGAGTGACTGCCTGTGTCCACCATTATTCACCGACCCCATTGCACCTGCAATCCAGCCATGCCTGAGGGCTGGATGCTAAGGAAGTGGGGGTTAGCAGCACTTCCTCTGTCGCAGGCACTATTCTAAGAGCCATGCATGGATGGTCACATTTAATTGTCACATTCATTTTTCTTTCCTTTTTTTCCCCCTAATACTGGGGATTGAACCCAAGGTCTTCTTCACACTGAGTTGTATCCCAACCCTTTTTATTTTTTTGTTTTGAGACAAGGTCTCACTAAGTTGCTAGGTTACCCAGGCTAGATTTGAATGTGTGATCCTCCTTCCTCAGCCTCCGGAATGCTTGGATTAGAGATGTAGGGCACCACACCTGGCTCATACCCATTCTTCAAGTGGAAAGACTGAGACACAGAGCAGTAAGTAATTTGCCTAAGATCTGAAAACCCAGTGAGTAGCAAAGCAAGAATCTGAGCCCAGGGAATTGTAGTCAACCCCTGAGCAATATTCTGTGCTGCATAGGAAAAAGAGGGGCATTCTAAAGAGACAGACCTGACTCTTATCCCTGCTTTACCACTCACTAGCTGTGCTGGTACGGACATGGTGCCTAACCTCTCTGAGCCACGGTGTCTCCATCTTGTGTGACAGGGAACAAGATAGGTAGATAGTAAACATTTTCTTGGTTCTTCTGCATGTGGCTCAGAGAGATTGAATGATTTGCCCAGGGTCACACAGCTAGGAAGTAGAGAGTTGCTATTGAAACCCTTATCTGCCTGATTATAGAACCAGTTTTTAA